CAGCCATCGCGAACGACTCAAAATCTGTTTCCGCAGCAAAACCTAACGCATGCGTATACGTTATTTTGTCTGACACCGAGCGACACATGAAACACAGCAATGCTCACAATGGAGTCAGACGTGAATGTTCTTTGATTGTGAAATTGAGTGGAGTGAAACTTATTGAAAGCAAAGCTGTACTAACAATGGCGTGTTCGAGTGTTTCCATTACGGCAAGCAGCGAAAATGAGAAGAAAAAACACAGGCTTATTGATGTCATGTTTCTCTATGACGAGTGGAAATCTTCGAAGAGTGGATTAACAACTTTCAATCGAGAATTTGCCATCAACTTGGCAGAAACGACGACTGGCAGCATGAAAGTCCATTGCTACGTTTCGCAAAGCGATGATCGAGACAGAGAAGATGCCAAACAACATGGTGTAAATTTAATCACCGCTGAGGCTATTCCTGGATCGCGTGATCCCTTGGATTGGTTAAAAGTTCCACCTCCCGAGCTTCAGCATCCACATGTTGTCATTGGTCACGGCAGAAAACTTGGAACTCCACCGTGCCTCATTGTACGAGCTGCAAAATGTAAATGGCTTCAGTTCGTCCACGTCTTCTGTGAGGACCTTGAGAAATCCAAAAAAACAACCACGCCTGCAGTAGATACAATCGAAGAGAACGAGGAGAAACACAAGATGGAGATTGAGTTGTGTAAAGCAGCGGATGCAGTAGTCGCCGTTGGCTCCCGTCTACAACGGAAGTACAGCAGAAGTCTCCTTAATGTTAAGGTGGAGGTTATCACTCCTGGGATCTTTGGAAAGTTTTCCAGTGAATCACAGTTGGCTGTAGACAGATCAGTGGTAAAGCATTTTAACGTGTTCATGTTCGGCCGAGGTACCTTTGAGGATCTTTACCTCAAAGGATACGATATTGTTGCAAATACCATAGATTCTCTTGGTAAGAGGTTTCAGCTGACATTTGTTGGCTCATCTCCTGGTGAACATCGGAAAGTTGAGCAATGGTTTCTTGACAACACTCGTATTAACCGCAACCAACTAACCATCCGTGGATATTACAGCTGAACAAGAAGAATTGAAGGTGATATTTTATCAGTCAGACTTGGTTGCTCTGCCATCCCGTACCGAGGGGTTTGGGCTGGTGTCGCTCGAAGCCATTTGTGCTGGTGTTCCAATCCTTGTCTCTGGTGAATCTAGCATAGCTGAGGCTTTGCAAAAAGTAGAAGGTGGAAACGCTGTCATTGTTGGATCAGATGAAGATGCAGATGAATGGGCAGGAAAGATTAGAGAAATGTCTGAAGAGAGCATAGAAAGGAGAGAAGCCGGTGCCATGAAGTTCCGTGAGAACTACAGGATGGTTTTTTCTTGGAGAACAGAGTGCGAGAGAGTTAAATGAATGATTGAAAGAGTAGTGAAAAATGGTATGTTCAACGATTTTTTGTTTGCTGGAATTCAAGGTGCATGTGATTTTGCTTTAACCAATATGAAACTTTGACAATGTTACATTAATGTAGTGTACTGGGTACTATTCAACTGGAAGATTACTGTGCAATTTCAGGTTTTGTGGGAAGAAACAGATGTAGCATGCCCATAATAATAAGGACAGGCATGCAGACTATCTTTCATTATAGTTCACCACGAAATTTTCTCCGGTTCTTATTGGTTTAAATCGATCACGTGACTCGATAGTGTTCATCCATGGAGAGACACTATCAACCCATAGTGCCTGTCGGCGGAAAATACCCGGATGGACAGTGCCCGTCCGCGGTAAATACCTGGATTGATAGTACTTATCCGTGAAATAGTTTGACGGCCGCGAAGTTAGGCAAATCGGAAAAACAGTGACTTTTCAATTCTGACAGGTATAACGAAATATTTAGCCAATGTACGGTTGCGAATTATTGACATTTGTGACAAGCTGTTGGCGCGGAAGAAAATTTAGTGGTGAACAATAACAACAATAGACTGTTTATGTTTCGGAACTATCGGTCTGATAGTTGCCCCTTGGAAATTTGATGTTCTTAAAACTAGCATATTTGTTTTAAGAACATCAAATTTC